GTTATTTTTGATTTATACTTTTTAGTATTAGTATTTTACACTTTAGTTTAGTTTTTCTTTGATTAATAGTGGCTTCATTTATTAATCATTATAAATCTTTTGATTTATTTTATTCTTTTCTTTATATTTTTATCTCTTTTTCAAATTATTTTTGTAATTTAGATCTTTGAACACACAATATCTGTAAATATTGGCAAGGTCTTAGAAACCTTTGCTAATATTTATAATTTATTCTCTTTACTTAAGTTTAATCATCTCTCTCTTAACATCATATGCTTATAGTGATTCTTAGTGAAACCCACTATTCAGAATCACTATAACTCTATACAATTATTAATTATATTTCTTTGTTTTACATGTATATTAAGCTTATTATTAGAATTAAATTCATAATAAATAATTATTATTTTTTTGGTTATATTATACATTATTAAATAATATTCATATAATTTTCATAGAAACATTTATAGAAGAAAAAATTTTAGTTAAAGCATAATTGATACAATATTTAAATCCAATATTATTAGCAAATGCTTGTTCAATAAGCTTAAAGAAAATTATGAAATATATAATTCTGTTAAGAATTTTTATAAATATAATAAGTGAAATAAAATATTTAGATTTGCAATTTTGCTATAAAGAAAAGTGATAAAGATTAAATTGTACTAAAGTAATAAACTTTCAAATTCATAAAAATCTGTTATTCGATCTGGTGTTGAAGCAAGATTAATTATAGATATGTAAAGCAAAAATAAGCTTTGGACATTCTTTCAAAATCTATATTTGTCATGCTAAAATTATATAAACATTCCATTAATTAATGAAATTTTAACAAAGCTAACTTCACTAAAAATAACTTATCTAAGACTGATCTATCATTAAAGAAGATCACGAATATAATTAAGAAATCACTTTTCAATGTCAAAGACAATATATATCAAAAGAAATATCACAGAATATTTTATAACATATCTCTTATATCACCCAAAAAATCAGATAACAATTTGATTAGAAAAATTAAAAAGAAGATAAGAAATCTGAGAAAAATGATTCACACTTTATAAATATAGTTCAAAATTTAACTGATCATATATGCTCATGGTATTATATAATAATTACTTTTATTTCATGTTTCATATGTTAATCTATATATATATATTATAAAGTCCAAGAGATTTTCTCTATGTAATCATAAGAAAATAATTTATTATTATATATGTGTTGTTAAAGTCAAGTTAACTTATACTTTTATACTTATTATTTGGATTGAATTCTCATATTTATTCTTCTAGCATTTAAGATGATAAGTTTTTTATCACAATATTTATCACTATCCCATTCACCCTTTATATAATTTCTTATATTTTCTTTTTTATGATTATTATTATATAAAAAGTAGAACATTAAACAATCAAAGTAATCATTATTTTCAATACTATATTTAAAAATAAATTTTGAAACACTTCAGTACCATTTTAATAACATGTTTTTGTTTCTCTTTTAGGTCTTTAGATAAAATAAAAATTGAGAATTATTATTTGGATAGTTAACTTTTCAATAATGCATTTTCTTTAAAGAAAAAATCTTTATTTCAAAAAAATCAAAGTCTTGTTACAGATCTTTTTCAGTTTCATCTGTATAATTTTTATATAAAATATTATAATACTTATCTGTTAATGATTTTGATAAATTAGATAATTTAATATATCATTCATAATAATCATCAATTAATATTTTCTTAGATAAATGAGACATTATTATTTTATATAATTATAAATTAATTTAAATTCTTTTTCCTTTTATATACATGGGGATGAGTCAATAGAAACCAAGCAAATTATATATATAATATATATATAATTTGCTTGATTTCTGTTGACTCACCCTCACATGTTCAGAAAAAGAAAGTATATATAATATCTAATAATCTAGTTATTTTCTGGCTTTGAGTGGCATGGCCAGGAGAAAATAAAGCTTATATAATTATTCAGTGATGATGCATATGCTCATGTCAATTTCATGCTTTTCACATTTAATAAAATAGAATTCAGCTTTGTATCTATTTTTTATACTTTTTTTTCCTTATGACTTTGCTTGCATACTGAACATAATGATCTCTCAATAATTTCATAATAATCAAATTTTTCACTACTAAATTCTTTATATAAATCAGAATAATTTACAATATCTTATTACAAAAATAAATATGTTATTATTCTGTTCTTCAAATAAAATCTTTTTGAGCTGAGGTATAGATAATATACTTGTCTCAGCCTTTGGCAAATCACCTGGACCTGGAGAATTAGAGATATGAGTCAGATGATGTTTTAGTATCTGAGATACTTACCTTAGTATTGGGTAAAGATTTGAGATTCTCAGTTAATATCACATGATTTTGATCATTTCCCAGAGAAACAGTTTTTGAAGTTACTTAATTTATAATGTTTTGAATTTGAGTATTGGTTAATTTTGAAATATCATTTGCACTGCAGGTAACATACTTAACTTTATCAATTCCAACTCCATTTTCCCCAACTAGCTTACAAATTTTTCTGGTCCTAAGAATCTTAATTCACAAGGCAACTAATGTAACACCTGGTAGATATTTTAACATCTCTTTGTATATTTGGATTCTTGCAGTTTTATCACTAACTCCTGTCTTATGTCGAATTTTGATAACCTTATTCTCAAAATTTTCTGAATAGCGAATCCAGAATAAAATTTCTTCATGTCCAGATCGTATAGCTTTTCTAAACAAATTGATTAAGCTTTGTGTTGTGATTTTAGATGATGATTTTTCATTATTCACGATGTCTTCGGGAGGTGTTTCTATAGGATCAGGTATAGCAATAAGCATACCATTCCGTAAATCTTGTATTAATCTAGTTCTATATTTTGATTTTTAGTAAGCTCAATGTCGTCAGAATCGTCAAGATTCTCCGCTGGTAAAGCAATATTTGTGGTTGTTTTTTGCTGATCGTTTCCCAGGAAAACGGTTTTTATATCACATGATGAATTATTATCCGAAGATAAGTTTTGATCCCGAAGTTTCTTCTCCCTAATTCTCTCCATTATTTCTTTACTGACCTGTTCCTTATAAACCGTTTCTACAAAATCTAGGGTCTCAGCTGAATCGTCATCGATAATTCTCGTGGCAAAGAGGTTACAGATGTTTTAGATTCAGATCTTGTCAAGATATGTTCTAGTTCGGGTAAGCAATTAGGAGTAATATCTTCCTCCTTATCAGAGTGATCCTCGATAGGTGATGGAGTAGATAACTGAGATTTTACTGGTAATGATGAACTGGCTGAAACCTGCGATATAGTTTGATTCTGCTTCTCAATTTTATCAACGGTTCGTTCCAGTTTCATGATTTTGGCTTTAAACTCAGCATTTTCTTCTATAATCTGTTTCAGTTTTGAGTTTTCGTGCTTAAGCTCAGCATTCTCGGTCACAAGCTTAGCATTCTCTTGTCTGAGTAAATCTAGTTCGGAAGTCATGTTTGATATTATGTGTTTTGTATATTTGCAGATTTATTTAATTTGAAGAAAATATCGCGTCGATTTATCTAGCACGCTCGATGTAAAAGTTCATAACTCGCTTCGGAATCTAAATGATTATGATTATCAAGTAATCACATTAATTAGCAGAACTAGCAAGGTTAATCACTTCCTCTCTCCGAAGTAATTCCTGAGTTGATCTGTGCCATGAAATCAGAGCTGTAATGTGTAAAAGCGGTGCGTCGATCATGCCAACGACACTAGACAACTGTGAATAAGCAAACCCTCCTCTTTGGATTCAAAAGTTTTGAAAAAGTTGAATAAGCAACCCTTTTGTGGCTAAAATATTTTTTATATAAAAATAGAGTTTTCTACGATTATTTCGTCGACTAGCCGTCCAATTGAAACGTGCAAACTACCAGAATGTCCTTCTCGACTAACAATTAGATTTGGATCGAGATATTTAAAGGGTTCGTGAATAAGCAACCCCTGACGCCAAAATTTACGGTATGTATTCAACCATTAAATCGACACTAACTATTTTTTCTCTAGCTTCGGCTCTTATGTCAGTAATCTGGAGACAGGATTATTAATTCTAGGTGGCAGATAAGCTAAACAATAGGAATTCTCCAAATCCCAAATGCATACTGGAAAAGTTAAAGACATCACGATTGGCTTATAACGTGATAATAATCATTATCATTATGATGTGTTGTAGTTTCATTATGACCAAAAATTCTAAAATACTATATTATGTTATAATAATGAGTTTCGGCGAATATATAAGTGATTGCAATTAGTTTTTTTCCTCGTCTACGCGCAAAATTCAATCAGCAATTACAGATTTGCATCACGCCGTCATTAACTTCTAAGGCATTCCAGTTGCACATCTGTAGCTTACGAATTTTTTTGCCTATAAATTTTCATCCAAAGTTTTCTTTCAAAGTGAACGTATATTCAGTGGTTCGTGCGGTTAAATTATTTACACGTTCATATCATCAGCTCGGATTTCACTCTCCAATCGGATTAATCATCTGTGTAACTGCGATTTGTTATACAGTCATCCCTCTATATAAGAACATGCTATATAAGAACACCTACACAATTTTGAGAACCGAATAATTAATATTGATAATAAAAATGACCTCTTTATAAGAACAAACTCTCTATAAGAACCAATTTTTATGGCCCGACCATGTTCTTATAAAATTGTTAGTCACCAAACCGTTTTAACCATTTACAACGTGTATATATACAGCGCGAATATAATCATGTTTATCATGCTAGGTTGTATCGTTTTAGGTGAAGATACGGCTTTTGCCGTTGATTTCTATAAGAGCAAGACTGTCTCGCATCTCAAGAAAGCCATCTTGGAGGAAAAGAAGAATAGTCTTCGTGGTGTTGACGCAAATAAACTCATATTATGGAAGGTTAATATCTCAGAAAGCAACAAGCGAGAAATATATACAGGAGTTGACCTCAAACAGAAATTCGGAGGGTTAAAGTTAGACAACGACCTCAGTCCTATTGGAAAGTATTTTCCAGAAGAACCTCCAGAGGAGCACATCCATATTATCGTCCAACCGACCAGCATCACTGGTAGGTTTCTCAATGTATTATCTCGCAAACAAGGAAATTTAGCGAAATTGGCTAACTAATTTCCACCTCACCTTATTCGCTTTCACACAATAACGACTCAACAGACGCACCTAAAACCAATACAGGATTATTAAGGCTAGGTAAGAAGCTATAGCTTTTGATTTTCGTACCAATTAATATTTTATACCCTTTACTTCATCATTTTGTATATTGAGTAGGAGGTCTTGGAGGA